CTGCTTGCCACCTGGAGGAGGAGTCACAACTTGCTTTGGACAGAAAGGCTGGCTGGGGACACGGAACTCCTTTGTCCCAGTCTTGGCAGAGGGGCAGGAGAAAAAGAACGGAAGTGTTCCGGTGACAGAGGAGTCATGGATTGCTAACTAAGGAATTTAGTTCTCAATCCCCTTTGGAGAGGCTGGGGGCTGCCTTGTACTCAAAGCGCCAGGTCTCGCTTTCCCAAGCAGGGCACCAGCGCCATGTCTGTGTGGGGCAAACTTATTTTGAGTGTCAGCGCCTCTTTTTCCCTGAGCAGCCTCCCACGGAGACCAAGGGGGAGGGAGAGCTCCTAGAAAACATGAAGCCCAGTGCCCAAGCCGACTAGAAAACAAGGTTCTGCAGTGCCAGGGCAAACCTCTCAGCACACCATTACCCTGGCCCAGAGAGGGGTGACCCCGGCCAGCACAGGCTGTCTCGTCTCGTGCTGGCTGACTAACCTATAGTGAACTGTGTTTACTCCATTAGAGTCTGCATCTAGCTATGGCTGCTGGCATCTCTCTCCCAACCCCACAGCACCTTCCTACGGAGCCAAAGCCTCTGCAAATGTACAGTCCCAGGCGAGGACGGAGCACCCAGGAAGCACAGGCTGATTTAAGCTCACTTGACCCATCTGTAGCGCATAGTTCACAATGATCCTTGATGTGGTGATAAAACATGAACTCCATCCCGTGCAAGGAAGCTTGTGCTGGCCTTGCTGATGGGGTGTTCTACACACATGCCTGGGGACCCAGTGGGGCCCCCTGGTCTCCATCCCTCCCCTCCCTTCTCCGGTCACTGGGAGAAGGTGCTGCGTCCGAGGATGAGGGCAGAAGCTAGCCTGGGCCCTCTGGAACTGAGAATGTCAGAGCTTTGAGCATCACGAACAAAGGGATAAAAATAGCAACGTTGCTATGGCAACGAAGGCTGGTAGCGTCCTGAGGATCTCTGTCTGGGTCCCGCCATCTCCCCCTCCTGCCTTCCTCCCACCCTGCAGATAGATCACAGGAATGAGCTGGGGGAGGAGGCTGCGGAAGTGTGTGTGTGGGGGGGGGGTAGGAGGAAGCCATCCGCAGCAGCCCACCGTGAAGACTCCCGGACTCAAACGCTCTGGGACACCTGCCTTTTGAAAGGTCTTCCTCAGCAGGAATTCCTTGAGGGATGACACCCCTATCCCTCAACCCTCCTGATGAATTCCCAGATCCCTTGGGCTCCCCTATGTATAGCCATGGTTTCTGGCCCATTTGGGGGATTGGATACCAGAGGAATGTAGGGAAGGGGGCGCCCCCTATGCAGAGCTCACTCGGTCTCCCACCCAGTGGACCCTGGCTGCTTTGGGGGTGGTCTGGGGGCTCTGGAGGATTCACAGGAGTCAGAACCCTGGTCCCAAATGGCTTAGCAACCTGGACTGAAGGAGCTTTCTGGGGGAAATCTTGAGTGGGGCAAAGGGCTTGCAGGCGTAACCGAAGGGTGGGATGTGGCAGTCCACCCAGAGGTGCCTCAGAAGAAAGGCCTGGTGATCCACTTTGGGAAGATCCCCCCCTGAACATTCTGTGGACCATAGTTCCATCCGGACACACAAAGGGTCACCACCAGCCAGGGCGACTGGACAGGTTTGTGCTGGGAGCAAGATGGGGCCATTGATGCTGGCTACCTCTTGCTCCTGGCTTTTCACCTGAGGGAGAACGCATTCTTGCCTTGGGGGCAGATGCTGTCTTGTCTGATTCTTGTAGGGACGACAGCCTGCCTGCCTGCCAGGCACAGGCTGCAGCCTTCAGGGTGAGCACCAGACTTTGCGGAGTGGCCGGTCAGGAGCCCACAGTGGGCAGCAGCCCAGTGAGTTTCTTCTCTGGGTGAAGATCCGCTGATGCTGTAGTGAGCCCAGCGTTGGTCGTGTCTCTGCACTGATCTGATGCCATGTGCCCTGGCATGGCATGCCTTCCTGTGAGGCACGCAGGGGACGGGGCTCACTGCCACTGTCTGCAGAGGAGTCTGAGCAAAAGGAAGAAGCTCATTCTCAAGGTCAGGAATCCGCCCGGGCAGAGCACTGGGGCACTCAGCCCGGAGGAGGCTAAACAGTGAGGTGGGCAAGGCAGTGAGATTCCTCCCAGAATCTTTTGAGCACCTGCTACGGTGTGTGTGCTGGGTGGGGGAGATGCTACCACCCTAGAGCCCAGACAAGGTCTGCAGACTTAATGCCCTAGGACTGGGCTGCAGGAGGGTGGAGACAGAACTGCAGGGAGTCTTGGGTCCTTGCTAGGGGTGCCTTCGCTTTCCCTCTGACCCCCACCCCCACCAATTCTTAGATCTTCTACATCACTCCCACCTCCCCATTTATACCACCACCACCAGCAGCCACACGTCCAACCCTGCCACAGGCCCAGCGCACACCATTCAGGGCTCCGGAAGCCCCTGTGACTGCTCTGGCCCATGGCCCTGGACACCACTGTGAGTCTGCTTCCCAGACTTCGAGAGGACCTCCGTGAGATACCCTCTTCCCAGTGCAGAAAGGGATCCTCAGGCCACACTCACTAGAGCCCACAGGGCCGGGCCTGGGAGAGCTGGCTCAGAGGTCTAGGCTCTCCCATGCCATGGTGCTAGCTCGTGCTTATATCAGTTAACTTATTGCTCTTTTCTTTATTGTTTCAAAATAACAATCTTGATTTATATGTCTATTGAGCCACATGGTACATTAAATAAAACAAACCAGAACCCCTCCCCTGGGAATGGAGAAGGAAGTGATATTCTAATAAAAAAGGCATCAACCTGAGACAAGAAGCCCCTTGGATCCTGTGGGACTGGGTCTTGGACAACACTCAAGTCACAAGGGCCTCAAGCACACTTCGTGGTCCTCATCCCACAGCTCGCAGAACCAGAGGACATGGGAAGGCCCCCCTTTGACAGGTGGGGGACTCGAGGCCCGGGACCCCAGCCCTCAGTTTGCAGGACTCAGCACCATGCAGGACCCAACGCCCTGCTCCTCACCTCCTCTGCCAGCTGCCCCTGCCTCCCGCAGGAGCTCAGGCCCCCACCTCAAGGTGGAGTCGCCTCTCCTGGGGACGCAGAAGGAATTAGAAATGGGGAACAAAATGATCCCACCAGACTTCCAGGATGGCGTGACTCAGGGCGGCTAACAAGCCAGGCCCACCCAGGGGGGTCAGGAGGACAAGACGCCTGCACCAGAAGGCCCCCACACTCTGAGACCTGTGGACTCTGGGGCTGTTTCTGCCTGTCCTGGTTAAACCCATCCTTCGGGTCCCCCCAAGATGCAGCAGTGGGTCCCGGACTTCCCCAGAAGGGCATCAGGGGTTGAGAATGCATGGTGTGTCTGGTGGCCCTTTGAGCTGCAGTGTCGGCCCAGCCTTGACCCTGGATGAAGAAGGGGCTTGGAGGTCCAAGGGAGCTGTCTGTGACCATCCTTCACTCAGAAGAGCCCTGACCTTGGACACTCTCCCATGTGCCCAGAGCAGGGGCGCCAGCTATCTAATATCCCTAGCTCCCAGCACAAACTGGTACCAAGCGCCAAGGGCAGCCTCCTCGGGGAAGGAGCTCTCCAACAGGCTTCCCGCTAAACCCCTGCAGCTGAAATCACGGCCAAGGGCTAGGAGGTGCCAGCGTGAAAGCTCTTGCTCTCCCCCTCACCCCCACCCTCGGGTGCTCTCCACTCTCCTGACCTTCCTTCCAGGGTGAGTCCCTGTGGTCAGCGCAGAACACCCAACACCGCAGAGCTTCAGGGATACAGTTTCACCCTCCACCCCAGAAGCCGCCCCTCCAGGACTGCAGCCTGCAAGCCACCGCTGCAGATACACAGGTAGCCAACTCCGGCATGGCATCCGATGAGAGCCTCCTGCGCTTCTCCTGGCCTGAGTCAAGGCCTTTGTCCGAAGGCTGAAGAGGCAGGGGGGCTTCCCCTTCCCTCTCCTGCAACCTACTGGCCTTTCTTGCTGTGTTTGTCTGCTTCCTGGAGGGAAGGACTTCTGTTTTTAATTCTTTGGAGTTAAAAGGAGATCATGGATTGTAGATGACCAGGGGCTAGGAGGTAGGGGCTGGGGATGGAGAGAAAATAATTTTAAACTGGTTCCAACCTCACAAAGGCAACCTGGATCTCTCCATACCTGCCGAAGGCCCGGGAAAGGCCCTCTGGTTGTGGGCATGAGCTGCTCAGGCAAAGGCTGCTGGGATAGAGTGTGCCCTTGCTTCTCCAAGGTCTGGATGTACCAGCAGAGAACACCTACCTCCCTGATCTGCCAGAGGCCCATCTCCCAGAGAAAGGAGGGCACAGAGCAGCCCCCGGCCCTGCCCTCCGCTACCCAAGTCATCTGTTGTTCTGCCCGGAATGCTAGAGGGGATCGGACTTGGCTGAACTGTTCCGGTGACGGAGTCTGCTCGAAGTGTTTCTGTCTGAATGCCCCTCTAGCCCCTGAGAGGTCCAGGCACAGGACAGAAGGCTAAGTCCTGTCAAAAGGGGCAGAGGAAGAGCTGGGCGGGAGGTAGCTGTGGGAGGAGGCAGGGAGGGAATGTAGCAAGAAGGGAGGTAGGAGGAGAAGAAGAACTGGCTCCCTTACTGCCATTGAAGCCATGCTGACTCACAGTCACCCTCTAGGACATAGAACTGCCCCTGTGGGTTTCTGAGTCTGCAAATCTTTTCAAGGGAGAAGACTCCATCGTTCTCCTATGGCGTGGCCGGTGGTTTTGAACTGCTGACCTTGTGATTAGCAACACAACTCGTAACCCACTTCGTCACCAAGGCTCTTTCCAAACTCAAAAACAGCCATCAGGTAGATGCTGACTCAAAGCAACCCTATAGGGTAGACCTGCCCCTGTGGGTTTCCGAGACGAGACGATAACTCTTTATGGGAGTAGAAAGCCTTCTCTTTTTCCTGAGGGATGGCTGGTGGCTTTGAACTGCTGACCTTGCAGTTAGCAGCCTAAAGGCAGAACTCACTATGCCACCAGGGCTCCTCAGAGAGGATATGGTATTTCATTTGCTTCCTATCATGGGGAAATGAACTCAGAAGGCTGGGGTGTAGTCAAGGTGGGAGAGAGGCAGATTAGGGCAGGGGTCGGGGGTGGGGATAAAATCCTAGAGCACCACCCGCTACCCTAAGAGTTTCCCCTGAAGGCACCACACACAGGCATTTTTCTCCCTATGGTTCTGCAAAGACAGGGAAAGGCAGGCGGGTGAGGCACGGAAACAGAATGTCGGAGGGCAGCTTAGTCCAGGAAGGAGGCCCCACAGTCTGGGCTGTGGAAGACTGTCTCTGAGGAGGGGAGTTGAGGATGGCATACAGACACCTTCACATCTGTGCTGCCACCACAGAAGTCCAGGCATCCTGGAGGAGGCGATCCCAGAGGCCAGGGCTACAGGGAAGACCTATTACTGGGGTGTGGAGAGAGAGGCTCAGAGTGGGAGCCTGCTGCAGAGAGCCCACACCCCCGCAGCCTTGGGAAGCCCACCAGCCCAGCTGACTCATAGTCCGACAGTTTGACAGGCGGAAGACACAGCATCAGTGCATGTTGGGGACTCCCGGCATCGGACACGCAGACAGCAGACAGTCCCCTCGGGCCTGGCACCATCTGGCTCAGGAGGAGGCCAGGGGTGGCTGGGAAATCGCTAATCCTAGAGGGGCTTCCAAGGAGGCTCTGAGTCTCAGGTGCTGGGCTCCCAGGAGGGCACAGTGGGGTAGGCCTCCCCGGGGTGCAGGGCTGCTACTAGGAGCTTCTCAGAGCAGCTGGTTCCTGGTTTAGCAACAGCGGTCCTAGCCCCAGGCAGTGCCTCCTTCAGAGGCTACCCTGGGAAGTGCCTCCGGAGCCCTCAGGGCAGGCAAAAGGCTGCTGTCCGGGCTGTCAGAGAGCAGCGGGTTCCTGGCTTCCCCCCACAGGCAGGCAGACATGCATGCTGGTGCATGGTTCCCCAGTCTCTCTCCAGGGAGGTCTCTGGTTTGGAAGCTAACAAGGATGGCCGGAGGAGGCTGTGGTCCTCAGGTGAGACACAGGATGCACCCGGGGCTTCCGGCTTCAAACTCCCAGCCAGAAGCGGGCGCCCAGGAGCCTGGAACCTCCTGCTCACACTGCTGTCTCCCGCTCTCGGCGGTGGCGGCCTTCCTCTTTCTTCCTCTTCATCTTGCAGAAACCGTGGAGACCACAGAAGCAGGCGAAAGTGAACTGGGGCATGCCCTAGGCCAAGCAGGGGGCAGCTCACCAGAGATCTGCAGGGAGAGATGGGGGTGGGGGGTGCCAGAGAAAGGCAGGAAGAGAGAAGCCAAGCTGGGGTTAATGCTCCCAGAACCCAGAGTCGGCCAGCCAGGAACCACTGCCACGCCCTGACCTCTCACCCCATGGGGAGGAGTCGTGCCACCAAACAACAGACTCTTTGAAACCTTGGTGTTTCCTGGTCTGTGGGAAGCTGATGTCATTGCTCAAATTGGAACCTAGGCGAGTCCGTGGTGGGGAGAGAAAGCCCTGGCTGCTGCACCTGTGTCTCCTTCCTGCCCACCCTCCTCTCATGGCATCACCACACACCCGCGGTTGGGGAGCAGGGAGTTCCTAGGGAGTCTTTTAGGCCAGGGAGTCCCTGGCCTAAGCTCAGCTGCTGAGGGAACAGCTGGAGGCTCGAGCCCCCACCCCCAGGTAGTGCATAAGAAAGTCTGGCGACCCCATCTGGAAAAAATCCTCATTGACAAGCCCAAGGGAGGCTCGTCTACTCTGACACCATGACTCGGTGTCAGCAGCTGGTTCACACTGGCTCCTGAGGCCACACAATCCCCTCAGGGATCCTAATAGGGGACGTTGAAGGAACTCCCTCATCCAGTGTAGACTGCACCCACAGAACTGAGTTACGGGGGCTTTGCTTCCTAAGCACCCCAACGTGCCTGATGTCTATAGGGAATGCGATGCCCTTTCAAGGGTGGGTCAGATCAACACGAATCTGCATGCAGAGAACAGACAGTCAAAGGGGTCCTTTCAGCCAACAGGCATTTATTCCACATCTGTTGGGGGGCAGGTACAGAAAGGCACAGGCAGTCTCTTCCCGGGCACAGCCGCCAGGTTGAGGCAAGAGCTGGCTGGGAAAGATGGTGACCGTGTGCTCTTACATAGTAGGACTTCCTCGGTGGGCCTTCTTTACAGACTGCCAGGCCTTTCTTCCGTGCTGTGGCTAGGTGGGTTCAAACTAGTGAGTTAGGTCAGTGGCTGACCACAAGCCATTTGCACACCTCTTACAGGCACATGGATGGGGTCACCATGAGCTGGGACAGACTTGACAGCAATGGGCTCTGGGGTATTTTATTGAGGCCGGGTGTGGGAGGGGCTTCCTTCGGGAGTTCAACTGGCAATGTGCACTGGCCCTTTCTCCAACTCTCCTTTAGGTCTCCCCGATAAACAAATCTGCCTTAGAAAACACACAAGATGTTCCTTAGAAGCAAGGGTAAGCATCCCGATGGCATAGGGGGTCTACGCACCAGATGCCATCTGCTCAGGTCCGAGGGTGGCAAGGTTTCATATCATGTACTTTAGGCATGTTATCAGGGATATGAGGAGATGGTGGGCTGCACCAAAGGGCTAAACATAGGAACGACCCCGAGGGTGGTGCACAGGGTCAGGCAGTGTTGCGTGTCCTACATAGAACTGACTCAAGGACATCTAACGTGGCAGCAGTCTCGGTCACCTGCAGATCCTGCCAGCCTGTCCCTGCTATGGAAGGAGTAGGCCTGCACTGCCGTCAGCTAGAGCAGAGCAGCGGGGAGCCCAGGAAAGCCCTCTTTGCGGGCGGTCAGGAGGCCCTGGGGCCTGCTTACTTTTAAGAAGAACCTTGGGGACCAGAGGGTGACGGTTCCCTAGATGCTGAAAGGGCATGGCAGAGCAGTTGGGAATAAAAAGGCCAGCAGCACCATTCTTCTCTGACCCCTCTTGAAACAGAGATAGTACTGGATGCCCCAGGCTGCAAATGCAAAGCACACCTGCACAGGATTCCCATCTTAGAAGAGCCTGGCATGGCCCAGATGGTAGCTCTCTGGATAGCTCCACAGGTCTGGCCAACCTTGCCCCCTAGGATAAGCTTCATGTTCCTCCAAGCAGCCAAGGGTCCAGTTGGCAGTCCTCACTGAGCACGGAGCCCTAAGCTGCTGGGGTCAGCTCAGGTCAGAACCTGTCCCCCATTCACCCTTACTGTCCTGATAATATAGCTAATAGCTGTCGTTAATAAGTGTTCCTGGAAGCTGGCATTTCCAATGGCCAGCTGGGTAGGCAGGTGGCCCAGCCAGAGTCAGCCCGGGTAGGTGGCTGGTTATTTAATAACCTGCTTTCCAGTACCATTTACACACCCACTCTCCTGGAGTAGAGAGAGAAAGAGCAGAGAGCAATCGCCAGGCTATATATAGACCAAGGCGACACAACTACTATATTTCTAGATCTATCTGTTGCAGCTATCTCTGGATCCCTCCCGTGACAAACCTAGAGAGAGACCGGGAGCCAAACCCGGGTGGAGGTAGCCTGGGCTCCATCCTTGGCTCTGACCCTGGCAGGCTGGGTCACCCTGGGCAAGTGGCTGGACCTCTCTGGGTCTTCGCTTACTTCAGTGGACCAGGGCGCGAATCAAGTTTGAGCCCCTAGACCCAAACCCTAAGGGGCTGAATTCTAATGGGATGAGGGGGAAACCCCGGAGGCTCCCCAGCACACACTTATGCCCTTTGCAGGGGAGATGGATAGGTGTTAGGGCACTAGCCACACAGCATTCTTCCCACAATGGCCGGAATAAACCCAGCTTTGCTGAGCTTGGCAGGGTGGGGGGGAGGGAGCTCACAATGAAAATGAGCCGGGCAAGGCGCTCTGACCACCCTGTCCCCATGCCACCCCCACGCCGGCTGCAGGAGACCTGGAGCTGGACTGCTAGCAGAAAGGTGTTGCTTAGAGCCCATGCAGCAGCGTCCTCTTTGGGGAAGGCCCCCTGACCTGTTCCTGAAGATGACAGCTCTGGCAGACCCTATGGGTTGGTCTTCCTGCAACACGGTGGCTCGGAGTCGGACAACAGTCACAGCGACTCCCCCACACAAGGTCTAGGGCAATTCAAGGCCTTTGGGGTCCCTGGGGGCTTAGGTCTTTTCTCTCTCCAACCCTCACTTTTCTCCCAGTACCTGCTCTTTGCTAAAGGAAGACCTGCCCCCGAGGTGGCTGTTTCTCCTCAGGGCCTGGTCACCTCTGGGAAGAGACAATCCTGGCCATTCCTGCTCACAGCCGTTCCCTCAGGGGCTGGAAGAGCTCTGTGACACCCGCCCCACCCCCTCCACCTCCCCTTAGGGAGAATCCTGTGCTATTTCAGTACCCATGGCTGCTGGGGTCTCTCGGCCATCTCCGGGGAGCCCCCAGGCCAGCTGTGCTCCCAGCTCTGCCAGGCAGGCCTCCTGTGGACACTCTGAGGTGTGCCACTTGACCCAGATGGAGGGGGGCTTCTTGGAGAGAGAAGTCGGGGCGCACCCATTCTCCTCTGGAAGTGTAAAGGACTGGCTGGGTCCCAAAGGCACCTAGATGCCAGCCCAGGACCCAGTCCCCTCCAGCCCTTGGCTTTCCCCCCAATCCCCATTGCTGGGCTCCAAGTCCAGGGGAGACTGAGGGATGGAAGAACCACTCCAGAAAGCCCGTGTAGGATCAGAGGGAGGCGGACCTGCTAGCTTATAGCTGGTTGCATCTGGCTGCAGGTTTCTGGCCCTGGGTCTCTGTGCAGGTGATGAGGGAGGTGTGCCCACTCAGCTGAGCTGGTATCAAGAGGAAGAGATGCCCCAAGGGCACAGGGCACCAACCCAAAGGGCCAGGAGGTTCCCTGCCCCTCACCTCCCTGTTGACCTTGGTCCTCGCACGTCTGGTGGACACAGGGCAGCATGTCAGCCAGCTGGCACATGTGGAGGGATGAGGGGCCTGGGAACCTCTAAACTCAGACCAAGCAAGCTCTTGGGTGTCCAGAGCTTGGCCGGCGCCTCTACCAAAGCCCAGCGGCGCTAGGGTGGCTGAAAGGGTAGGGGGTTGCTTGCAAGTACTGGAACATGCAGGGAATTCTTTGACAAACAAGGAAGGAATATTATCCCAACTCCCAACCCCCACCCCTTCTCAGAGCAGAACAGCTCTCAGCCAGGCAGCCCCGGAACCCCACGACACCCCCACTCCCCCAGGTAAGGTCTGGGAGAAGTGACCCACGGAGGAGGACACGCCCTCAGCTCCTCGGGCACAATGCGAACCCTCCGCCCCCTCCCAGTTCCGCCGCAGCACCGCGCCTCAGTAATTAAAATATGAATTCACCTTCCCTCCCCGGGCCATTCATCACTGCGAAGGGAAGCAGCTGCGGCTTAGGAGACCGGATTTGGGGGATTAGCTGGGGCGGTGGAGCAGACACACCAGGAGAAAGAATTAAAAGGAAAGGGTGAATTGGGTTTTCTCTCCCTCTCCTGCCACTGCTGAGCCTCACGAGCCTCACACCCACACCCTCCCGAGAGCCTAGCCTCGGTAGCTTTCTGGGAACTGTAGTCTATGGGCCCCTGTGGATAAACAGGCAGGCCAGGGCTGGGTGGTGACACAGACTACAGATCCCAGGACTTCTCCCCGGAGCTGGCAGCCGGCAAAACTGGGCACAGGCCCGCGTGCTCCTTGGAGAAGCCCGCGTGCTCCTTGGAGATTAACTCCTTCTGGGCCTGCTAGAGCCTGCACCTCAGCCTCTGGTGCTCCCTGGCATCCTGAGCCGAGGGCCAGCCTACCTCCGATGCCCTTTGAAGGTCACAGATCCTGGCTGGTCAGGGTCAGCCTGTCGCCGGCCCGGGAAAGCCTTCTCTCAGTCCCTTAAGACTACAAGGGCAGCCAGCATTTACCTGTACAATAGTCTAGCCATGCCCTTTTGCCCGGGGACCTAAGGCTTCCCAGGCCTGCTGGCCCAGCATGGCTGGGACCCTCTGCTAGACACACAAGCAGCAGCTGGAAAGCCGGTGGCCGGACGGTCAGAGGCAAAAAGGCCCCCAGAAGTCAAAATTTAACTGCTCCCCTGCCAAAGGTGGAGAGCAAGATGTTTAAAACAGTCTTTGCTTTTATGCAGGGCTTAGCAGTCAGATTCCCCTCTACCAAAAAAGGGGACAAATGCAGTGAGAGATATGCTTGAATCTCATCAGTCTTCCCCTGGGAGGCCCGGTACCTCTGGAGTCGGCAACAGGGAGCAGCCCGCCTTTTGGGCTTAGGCTGTCCGTGGGCAGGGGATGGGGCAGACGCAACCCTCTGATTCTGTGAATGCTCAGAGGAGAGAGGGCCCGGGGCCAGCTTGCCTATTCAATTCCCTGCACCAATTATGTGGAACACATAATTACAGACCTTCTCAGGCCTGCCCCACTGGCACTGGCCAAGAGACAAAGAACAGAATAGGAGCTCCCAGAGCCCCAGGCCCAGCCCAGCCCAGCCAAGGCAGGTGCTCTCTAGTGGGGAAGCTGCTTACCTCTGAAGGCATCCCTCTCCTCCCAGCTTAGTTCAATCAACAGACATTTAAGAAGCCACCCCTACTGAGAGTCCAGTAATGCTGGAGCTTCACAAAGGGAAACATCCAGACTGGCTCATCCCTCCCCTCCTCCTCCCAGGCCCAGTCTGGTCCTGGAGGGCTTCCACAAATGGTCCAACAGAGTCCAGGGAGACCCCAGTTGCAGGGCACCTGAAGGGGGCTCTACCCTAGCCTCAGTTTCCAGTTATGAGATGGGGAATGCGGAGGGGCAGAGTGGACTCATCCCAGGGCCTGGGGGGAGGTGGGGGAGTCTGGGACACAATGAGGGGCAGGGCAAGAGGAAAGGGAGCCAGGCAGGAGAACTCAGAGGAGGAAACCCTTGCTAATTCTCACCTAGTTCCTCCTGGAGGGAAAGTGCCTGGACAGGTCCCAGCAAAGACCCAGTTTAGCTTTCTCATGTTTTGATTTTTACCCCCTGCTGGAAAGGGGTTGGACATGCACCCAAAGGAGATCTTAAGAGTAAGCACCTTTGTGAGACCCCCCACAGTGGTCTGCAGAGCCCTTTCCCCGTGCATGCGTGGGTTCCCAGGAGGATGAGCTAACACCACGTGGGTTCAACCCCCACCTCTGTTCTTCCCAGCCCTAAGAGCCTGGGCTTCTGGGCCTCGGCTTCTCCATTAAGGACAACAGCAGGATCGTAGCAGCTCCTTCCGAAATCAGCCCTGTGCAGGCATCGCGGTGAGAACTGTGCAGGGGTAAATATTGAACAGGGACTCTGAGACACATGAAGTAACTGGCCTTCTGATTCACAAGACCAAATATGGTCTGCTCGCTGATTCTTCAGTGGTCTGTCTTAGGCAGACTGGGGGCTGGAAGGGGGGGTGATGAGGGTGCCAGCCTATTCCCATCTGTTGAAGTCTTCCAGGATGGCTGGGACAGGAGTCATACAGACCTAACTGGGAGTGGGGGTTGGAAGGGACAGGAGGGGGCTGGTGAGACTGGAGAGAGCTGGGGTGCCAGGCAAGCTGATTGGCCAGCAAGGAAGCAGGTACCATTCACAGACCCAGACGGGAGCAGACAGGAGCTGAGTGACCCTGAGCGGGGACCCAGGGCTCCAGCAGGCGTGAGGAGCCTTGGCCTTCCTGCTATCCCCATTGACCCTCCTCTCTGAGGAGGTGGCAGAGAACACAGAGCATGAGGGAGTGAGCAGACGGGGTGGGGTGGGGGGCAGCCCAAGGGTCGGGATGCCCAGTACCCGACTTCCCAAACCCCCAGGAAGGGGAAGGTCCACATTCAGAGACCTCAGGGAATCTCCGTCTGTGTTGGCCAGCTCAGCCTCTTCAGGTCCAGAGAAGGAGGTAACTATGTCAAGGTGGCACAGCCCAGAGTCCAGAGCGCGCACGCGCACACACACACAGCCCCATGCAGAGCCCCTCCTGCGGCTGGTCGATGCAGGCACTGCAGAAGCTTGCCCCTCACTGTAGCCCATGGCTTTTAGCCCTACATGAGTTTGGAACATCAATCACATAGGAATGAAAAGCCATAGGCCGCAGCGGAGCCAAGGGGGTCCAGAGGCTCTAGTCTCAAGAGGGAGCCGGGAACACCTGGGAAACCTCACTCCCCTTTTATCAGCCCATCTGTCCTGACCCCTCCTTGTGTCCTGGGCCCCCCATGTGACATTCTCTCACCACCCCCCTCCCACCCTGCCCCAGCCCGAGGAGTATGGAAACCACGTCCGTGAGTATGGAAACCACGTCCGTAATGAGTTTCCAGTTCTTGCCCCTCAAAGGCCCACACAAAGGTCCTCACTCAGGGACTTGGGGAGGGGTGGCTTCCTGGTCATAAAGGACCTCCTCAAAGCCCCTTAATTAGCTTCCAGCCCCCTGCCCAGTGTCCTTAACTCCCCCCTCCCTTCAAGAACAGCGCCAGACCTTTTCAATACTGCTCGGCCAGTGCCCAAGACCAGCCCCCAAGTTAGGTTCTCTCCTGACCAAGCTTAACCCTTTCTACTGCAGTCCCTGGAATCAGAGTGGGGAAAGGAGAGCAGACACAAAGGCCTGCCTTTTGTTCCAGGGGCGAGCCACAATCGTGAGCACCCCAGAGTTGGGGGCCTGTATGTCCCAGTCTGGTCCCAGGCCAGCGCCCAAATGCTTGGTCACCCACCCATGCCAGTCTCTGTGACTTGGAGGCAGGAAAGGGCCCACCCACCCACTGCCACCAGTTTGCTCTTCCAATCTAGGGTTTCGGAAGCTGTCAATCTTTCCAGGAGCAGGAGAGCCTTATCTCTGCCCCCAGGAGCAAGCAGCTGGTGGGTTTGGACCATCAGCTTTGCAGTTAGTAGCCCAGCGCTGACCTGACGGTGCCACCGGGTTAAGGGCAGGAGCCTGCAATGCTCACCAGCTCAGGGCAATGAGCTGCTGGATCAGCCTGGGAGGTGCTGCAGGAGGATGTGCAGCATTGGCAGGAGATACAGCTACATGCGCAGCGCCAGGAGGGCAGCTAAGAGCTAAGCCCAACCCCAGACAGGCAAACGCACTGCCACCTGGCCCTCTCTGACTCAAAGTGACCCGACAGGACAGGGTACACTGCCCCTCGGGGGTTTCTGAAGCTGTAACTCTTTACAGAAGTAGAGAGCCTCGTCTGTCTCCTGTGGATTGTCCAGCGATATCCAACTGCTGACTTTGTGGGGAGCAGCCCAACCCGTATCCACTATGCCCCAGGATTCCTTAAGGGCGGAGCCAAGGAAACGGAAATACCTGTGTGTTCTGAACACACACACCCCTGTCCCGTCCCCTCATTCCCCTCTCCCGTGGTGGTTCACCTGTGGGCATCAGTCTCAGAGTGGGCCAGGGGTTAGGAAACCCCCCACAGGCTCAGTCCCCAAGCACAGCCAGCCTTGACTTCAGCCGTGTGATCAGAGTGCAGACCAAGCCCTCTCTCAGTCAAGAGACTCCACCTCAGCCCTGCCCCAGCCTTACAGGGAGGCTCTCAGTGTCACTGCAGACCCAGGCTGGTGTAACCTCTTCTAACCAGATACTCCCCGGCACCAGCAAGCCCCCACCCCCTCCAACTTCCCACCGGATTGCTAGCTCATGGGCCCCAGTCCCCGCAGCCTGTCCCTCCCTCCTTTACTCTGCCATGGGTGTCCAGCACCTCGGCCGGAGGACCTGGCACAAAGCAAGCTGGGATTGGAGCAGAACGCCCTCAGCCCCCTTCCCAGGGGACAACTGCCTTGAGATGGGTCCCAGGGGCTGCTCACCTGGTGGGCCCAAGAGGGCCCTCTCTCCCTCCAAGTCTCCGCAGAGCCACTCCTGCCTAGCAGGCACGGACCCACTCCTCTACTTGCCCTCAGAAGAGAACACCCTGAGCCAGGGAGAGGCTCAGGCCTCCTCTTCCCGCCCACAACCCCCACAGAGCTGTGCCCAACTCAGCCTGACTCACATGGAAGCTGCAGGCCTGCCCCTCCCCCGCCGGGGGCTGGCCAGCAGGTACTCCTTCAACCCTGACCAGGGTCAGGGTAACAAAGGTCCCATTGAGCCTCAGGCTGTCTGGTCTGGGCAGTGGAGCGCAGACCTTTCCAACCCACTCCCTTTTGATCGCCTTCCCTTGAACCAGCCAGTATCACTCCCTGCTCCCTGCCCCCTGCCTGGCTATTGGTATGGAGGGGCTGTTTCGCTCGCCCGCCCTCGGTCTCCCCATCTCTTCTCTCTCTCCATCCCCTACCTGCTCCCCTCCAGCTATTTTTGCAGTTTAGTTTTTTGGCAGGAGACCTTAGAGGGCTCTCTGAAGACCCCTGCTCTGGTCGGACCCCTTCCTCCCATCACCCCAGCCCTCCCCTCTCCCACCATCCATGCACCTGCCCCAGGAGGCCAAGGTCAGATTTGGACTGGTCTGTCTTACTTCCTGTTTTAGGCCAATTCAAATCCAACCCTAC